ATCTATCTATCTATCTATCTATCTATCTATCTATCTATCTATCTATCTATCTATCTATCTATCTATCTATAAAAACATGTTTTTTTTACTGTGACATTACAGGTAGATCTTTTTGAACAGAAATGTTTGATAATGCCCTGCTTGGCTTTACAAGATAAAGTCAAAGCAGCTATTTACCCACATCGGGGCACAATTTAGAGTTAGCAAAAAGCTAACATGTTTGTTTTTGGTTTGTAGGAGGAAACCCAAGGCTGGGAAGCAAACCTGCAACCTTCTCTCTGTGAAGTGACGACACTAACCCGCAGTGCCAGTCCTGCTCAAGGTCACACAAAACGCAAACAAATGTCATTTTGCTTTTGACCAAAACGAAACAAGAAAACAAAACATAACCCTGTATGTAAAGTTTTRTGTGAAAACAGAAACTGTGAAAGAAAATAAAACGAGAAGAAAGCCGAACACCTATTTGTTTCTGCACAGACGGCACAAAAACACCTCTCTGATTCAATGAAAACATGAAAACTTGATGCTGATTTGCTGTTGAAGCCACTTTAAAGTGACCAGAGTCCGTCTTTTTTTTTTCTCGCAAAGCAAAGTTGAGCTTAAATGGACAAAAGTGTTAAAGTTAGAGGAGGTCAAAGGGGACTTTGCTCAGGGATTCAGAGGCACTCAAAGCATTTTTACGGGCTAAAGACTGAAACAAGACACCGGGACCTATAGAACCACCAACCGTTCTTGTTTACAGGCAATACCAGCTGCTTATCTTCCAGATCGGACCCTTTAATCGGCACCGAAAGGATAAGACGCCGACGCAGACACCCGACAAGATGAAAAGGCTGAATCTGTCTCTGGGGCTCACTCAATCATTTAGATTCCCCCCTCTGATTGCACCTCTGTTTTCTGCCACCAAATATCCCTTTTTCATCGTTAGCTGCTATAAAAAGTTGCACAGCCTGGATGAACTGAAAAAGGTGAACACGGTCATGCAGCGCCTCTTTCATAATCCATTCATAAATAAAGTAGGACAAAAGACTACRGGTTTTCTTCTGGCAGTGATATGCATCGTATCGTTTGATGTTGCTTACTGGAAGGAAATGACTGGGCTGGACTCTCACCATTAATGTAATTGAGAGTTACCTCATTGTGCTATAGACCTTAWGGCAGTCCCAGAGGATGAGGGTTTTAGCAGGGGGGCGGCATCTGTTCAAACAAGAGGAGTAAGAAAAAAAAAGTGGGGCTGAAGAAAATCATCAGGGGGGAAGGACAACAGTCGAGCAATGCAGCAACATTGTTCCTGCCAAAAGGAAGGAGGGTGTTGGGAGGGTGAAGAGGGGTAAAACAGTTCAACCTTTGTGATGGTCTCTTTTTATGTTTGGTCAGCAGAGCGACACTCATGTCTTTCTCCTGTTTTCTGCTGAAGCCTGAAGGTTTTCAACGGTGAAACATCTCCACTTCAACAGGCGAGACTCCAGCAGGCATCTACGCCAAACACTTAGAAAATCTGCCTTGAGTCGATGTTTGCACAAATAACTCACCGTGTCCCGGAGCATTTTATGCAACTTGGGAAAATGAATCAAAACTAGAGAACTGCAATGACAAAAATGATGCGAATGCACAGAGGTTTGCTGAAAGCTGCTGAAGAAGCTGAAAAAGTTTCATAGYAAAACTGTTAACGAGGGTTAAATTTCAGCAGCTGACTTTTGCTGAAATTAGGGCCAAAAAAAGCAAAAATCAGTAGAAAAAGCAGCTTAAAAAGTTGCAATTTGTTGTAAAATAACTAAAGCAGCTGAAATGAGCAGAAAAAATACCTAAAACTATCTGAAAAAWTTTGAAATTAGCAGAATTTGAATGTGAATAAGAGCAAGTTCACTGAAATGATCACACTAAAGCGAATTCCGCTAAAACTAGCTAAAAATAGATGAAAAGTTGTTGAAATGGCAGGAAGAACAAGCAGAAAGCACTGAAAAAAGCATGGAAAGCTTAAACTGGCTGAAAGACGCACAAGAAGTTGAAATTAACTGAAGAGTGTTTTAAAAAAGAAGTTTAAAAAAAGCTAAAGAAAGCTGAAACTAGCACAAAGTTTTAAAAAAGTAAAACCAGGGAAAAAGGTAAAAAGTGCAGTGCAGATAAGGAATTAAAGGGTTTTAAAGCAGGGGTGTCAAACTCATTTTCACCGAGGRCCACATGAGCGTTATGGTGGCCCTCGAAGGGCCACTTGTCATGAACTTTAATGTTTCATGTTTAACTTTGACTAAACAGAGTTTTAACATGTCCTCTTTTAAACACTGATAAGAACTAAGTGTATGACTGACTAAATCTGAAATAAATACAGAAATATTATTAAAAGTAAAACAAAAAAGTTTTACTCACTGATAAGTTTCTAGTGAGTAGCTGCATTATGGCAGATGTAGTTTATGTTTGATGGTGACTTTAAAGCAGCTTATTTTCAGACATTAGTACTGTTCTATCCAACTAAATTGCTCAGTTACTTCAAGCCAACAGCTCAGGGACATGAATTTTTAATTTATTTTTATTAAATTAATTTTGTTGCATTTAACCATAAATTTAAAGTTTACCATTGATACAAGAAACAAATTTCATGTTACGTAAAAAAAAAATTTTTTTTGGGGAGGGGACCCCCCACCGGTGGGCCACACGGGAGCCACCCGCGGCCTTGTGTTTGACACACGTGGTTTAAAGGATGTTGAAGACATTTTCTCTGAGGAAAAAAATGGCATGAAAAGTTATCTCAAAAAGTGTCAATTGCTAAAAAAAGTACCAGAAGCCATTGCTTGAATTTGCTGCATGAGCTGAACATTTTGAAATATAAATTGTTTAAATAGCACAAAAGATGTGTGTGTCAAAAAAACATACAGTAGAAAAGTGCTTGATAAGCATTCACACAAAAATCTTTTGTTTTGCACTTTTTAAAAGCAAAACTTCTCCACAGCAGGAGCAGTGATCTGGACAAAGATGCCTATTCATGTGTTTGGGAATAAAAACTAAAAAGACAAAAACTGAACAATTTAGGGTCACCRATCTCGCACGCCCAGTCATTACAACAAGTTCAGCTTCTCACACTGCAAACTGCTGATCATTTGMTGCCCTTTGACATCCGGTGGGTGGATTCGCTGTGAGTTTTATGTTCTCGTTAAGTSGCGTTCTGGTGTTTTCATAAAACTGAGCAAATACAACTGTCCACACCCAGGCTGCACAGAGATGCCCCGGGCCTCACGAACATGTATCAACAAAGATAAGCAGGAATTTCTTAATGAAAAGAGTTACTCGCGAGAAAAATAAACTCTAAAAATGATCAGGGCTCATGTAATGACATGCTGGTGTTGAGGCTCATCTCAGATATCAGTGGGCAAACAAACAAGACAGTCTACACTAAATTTCTTTGATGAAGGTGTCAATACCTCTGTTCTCTTGATATAAACTTTGTGGTTAATTKAAATCAAGACGTTAACGTCGAAAAAAGCCTGACAAGTTCAGGAAACTGTCCATGTCTGTGGCTTTACATAAAATTAGGAGACCAGGTTTAGAAAAATGTTGCCTCCTATAAGTCTCACATTTTAGTTTCTTCTGTGGTCTGAATGAATCTTAAAAAATAAGGTGGTGTTGATTTACTGAATGTATAGCAAATGAGATTAAAKGCATTTAAAACAAATTACACCAATAAAAACGTGACCACAATTTCTTAAACTTAGACCATAATCTGCATCTGTTTTGGGAAATACAAGTTTTACGATAAGCCWGTTTTTACAGATAGTTTGAAACTGCATGGTGATAAAAGGAAGGAAAGCCCGTTTTATAAACATGAAATATAGGAGGAGCAGKAATTTTAATTTTAGCTGACAGCAACAACCCTCTTTCTGTAAATTACAGAGAAACATAAGAAATAATCCAAACGCAGCAGTCACATTCCATAATCTAGCCTCCTTATCTGCCGCGTCCTCAAAGGCAACAAGGATAAGTCTTTCTGTAAGGCTGGACACAGTAAGCTGTGTCCTTCCACCYCTGCAGGCCCGGCAGAGCCTGGTACCAAACAGTAAGTCACGGAACTCACGACGCAGACAGTCCGAGCCCTGATGTACGAGCATAGCTGTGTGAGCGGAGACAAGAGGGGAGGGGGAAAGACCTTTTCACTGGAGGTGATTAACACAGTCTGAGCCGTTAAAAGTGAAGGGAAAGACGACAAGCCGAAAGTTATTTCTCTGTTGGGCCATTCTTCGTCTTCCCCAGAGAGGATCACAGTGACCAGAATGTGATTTCTCCATGTCAATGCAGGTTGAAAATACTCTGCATATTTCTATTTAAAGCTGCATTAGTGCACAATAAACAAATCAAAGAGTTGTTCCTGTAAATTAATGTGTTGCATGCGTTCTCGTGACTGGTTTATTTACAACAGCGGTTAAGTGATGTACTGACCTTAGCATTCTTTTGTCTGCCCTATAGGTGTGGCTTGTTTCCCACCATTCAGCTCGTGAGTTCTGTAAGGGGATACAGCGACTCATTGTTCCCACCTGGGGTGACAAAGCGTTAATTTAAGAATTCAAGGAGACACCGCTGCCACGGCTAAATTCAGAAAAAGAATCCAGCTGATCTCAATAACAGACTACACCTTTGTGTGATTGTGTGTATGTGTGTGTGGATCCTGCTTAGCCCAGCTGACCCCTGGTTTCAGACAAGTTATGCAACAATGTATGCATTGTTCATTAGGGGTGCTTTGATAATCCAACACATGATTTAACTCATTCAGTTGGTTGCAAGTTTGCAAAATGTATTTCAGCTTTGTGCGCATATAGCAAAGAAAGATTCCTAAAGCATGAAGTTTTTCTCTAGTAGCATCCATCCATCCATCCATCCATCCATCCATCCCAGGATTCCCACACCTTGGTCGGTCTACATCAAATTCAAGGACCTTTCAAGGACTTTCCAGTACCAATTTCCTCAAATTCAAGAACCACGCGCAATGACAATTACCTACTGCTATCGCAGAATGTTACCAATACACAGGTTTAAAATCATGTAAATTCAATGAAAAACTGAACAACAGAAATTAAGTCAGAATCAATGAAATAAGGTGGATTAAATGTACACCCTACATTCATATCTACAATACATGGACATGTAATTATGTCCTGGGAGGTTCAGCAGCTCAGTTTGGGAGGAGGGGATGTGAACATGTCCAGACGCTCRKTGAGGACAGGAGGAGCTGCGGTGCTCTCACCTGGGCTCAGAAAGAACGACCCGCCTTAAAACTATGACCATGGCTCACGTTAGTTGTTGAAAGCCACGTCGGTTTACCGTAATTCTGAGTTATCCACTGCAGTTTTTTGAAATTATGATTATTATTATTTACAGATGATGAAAATCAGTTGCGTGAATAGAGAACTTCACCCCACCCCCCCAAAAAAATCAAGGACTTTCAATGACAAGTGCAATTTTTGGCT